CCCTGAATACTGAAACAACACGGATCTGATGAGCGGAAGTCTATCAGCATCGGAAAGCCGTTTGCTAGTCCAAGATTCCACCCTTCCTTTTTTGGGGGAATCTTATCAATGAGAGGCCTACAGTCTCTGGTTGTGAGTCTAGTGAAATAAGGGGCACTCTAAGATACTTGATGGGCAACTTCCTTTTGACCGGGGACTGCCAGTGAAACACTTTGTTTTTCTGCTTTAAAGAATGCCTCTGGAAACAGCCCAACTAGTTTACCTGCTCGCCTACTACGGTTAAGGCTTTCTTTCTTAAGAAAGGCAAACAATGTGGGACGATTATTCCTCTTTATGTTAGGCTGGCCTATAGCCCTTTTTAAGGTCTTTTTAACTACTAGGTATCTTCCTCGTCTCTGGTTGAAATAATTGATCATGAATAGTATGACTCAGATGCTGATCCGGGAGAATTCTCCTCTGAAAGCACCTCCTGCAGGACCGTTGCTGAACCGAAGACCAAAGAGCAAGAATCCCTTGTTTCTAGGATCTAGAAATCGAACGGCATAGCTTGAGAATGTAGGCTTCTACTCATCAATAGGTACCGAAGCCGAAAGAGTTTATTTAGGAATCTTTCCCCATAGGGGTTACTCGCGCCTAAGCGGATGTCTGGAATGGCTGTAGTGGGAAAGACTCTTTATATAACATGGTTTCCGACATCGAATGATTCCCCACAAGGTGCCTGAAACTCTCATTTTGACAGCATCCAGATTGTCAAAGTTTCATTCTCCGGTGCCCAATTCCTAACTTTTGCTTGGTGATTTGACTTTCGATTGAGGAACGGGGCTTGCCCTAGTATTCAAGTTCTTAATGATACGTAGTAAAAACAAATCGTAAGATGAATCAACTACTTCCTAGCTAGGAGGACTACCCTCTATATTGACTTCGCTACTGAGACCACTTCCAAGTAAGAGCGCAAGCCAACCATCTTTGCTGCGGAGGAACCTACATGTGAAAGAAAAAAAGAACCGATCATCCGGAGAAAGCCTTGGGAAGGCTTGCTGCCTATGCCAGATGCTCCTTTCTTTGGAACTACTAGTTAGTCTTGCCTATGAAAATAGAATAGTCATTAAAATCCTGGAGACCGTAAAAAACTTTCATCTGATGGGCATCTCTCTGTATAGAAATAGAAACGGGACTTTACCCGGGTGGGGAGGAACATCTCAATGGAAATCGGGCGATCCCATGAAGGAAAGGGGCATAGAGGCGAGGGACCCATACCCTGCCAGATCCACTCGTGTGGTCAGCCTATGACACATACTTTAGGACGAATTCCTGGTCATTCCTACCATTTGTTCTTCATCATGCCATTTTTGACCACCTTGCGAGGAGAATCCGCTTTCTATAGATACCCACCGGAGAGGCGCTTGTGTCTCACTTTACAGCACAATAAAGTTTTATAATCAAAAAAAAAAAAAAGGTTCAGTGTAACAAAATAAAAGTGTTTCAAATCAATTGTAACAACAAAAGTGTAACATTCATTTTATAATCCAACACAACACAACGTCTGTGTGCATATGCATTCAGTTAACTCAGTTCACACAGATATGCCAACAATTGAAAAGTGTAATGTAACCCATTATGATAACACACAATTGCATAAACATGAAAACATGAAAATATATATATATATACACACACACACACACACACATAAATATACATACATAGATTACCTCTTCGACGATCAAAACAGTGAATGAACACAGAATACTCAACCACGATCGACCATAGTGCAAACAACGAGCAAAGATCAAAGTAACAAGGGTTCAATTTCAAAAAAACCCACTTCAAATGACAATGTCTAAAAAACCCACTTCCAAGAAAACCCTCTTCAATCGATCGACCGTTTGTAACCCGAATCGGCTTGAGGAAGAAGATGAACAATGGAGATTCAACACCTTTTCTATGAATCGGCTTGAGGAAGAAGATGAATCGGCTTTTTTGAATGGATATGCAAACTAGCAGTTTGGTGGGAAGAGAAATAATAAGCAGCCGTTTTTTTCCTTGGAACAAAGAGATACATTACGGTTTTTGAGGATGTTGAAAAGATTTTGAATTAATGGAGCCTAAATTTTAGCAGTTATGATAACTGTAATGTTACATTTTTTAATGAAATAAAAATAATAAAAAAGGGCATTTAAGTCTTTTTTCAAAATATTTTTTAATATGTACTTTTCTCAAATAAGTTTAATTAGGTGTACCAGCTTCCAAAGAACCATTAAAATTTTGAGTTGATAAGGCCCTTGATAGGGGTATGTGCAGTTTAAGAAGTAGGGGATACCTATGCTCTTTGTAGGGTATCACTATGATCTTGTACATTTTGATTATCTTATGTTATGATATTTGACTTTCTAGAACAAAACAATAAAACTTTAAAAAATATATAATGATACAGTTATGATATCCCTATAATAAAATATATTTTATGTTTTTTATTAAAATATATTTTATGTTTTTTTATTATATATTGGCTTGATATTTGTAATTTTTAGTAATTTTGGTAACATTAGTAAGCAAAATTTGTAATTCTTACTTTCAAAAAGAGATATACATATCTTCACGTTGTTGTATATTCACAAAGTGAACTTGACTAAATAAAAAAATCATAATCAACATTTAATTAGTTCATTTGTTTGGAAATATTTATATTCTTGAATATTCGATAATTATCGTATTTAACACGATATTTGATACAAATATGTTGACCTTGATAAAATATCCTTGTTTGATAGGTTGATAGCCTATTAAGTTTTTAACATTATTTTTGCAAGGACCAGCCTGTGTTTCATTTGAGTGTTCACAACTATTAAAATTATGAGGGGAGATTTTTTGAAGATATCATATGATAATCACCGATTGACGCAACAGAACAAAGAATACTATAATTCTTTATGTATCAAATTAAAAGGAACACTATGAATCTTAAGAGAAAGTAGAAATTTTTTTTTTGAAAATAATGTTATTCAATAATTCATTTGTAATATAAAGGAGCAATATAAATAGTAACAATCAAAATCCTAATCTTTTTCAAAACGAAAGTAAAAATTATGAAAAATACCACAAATGGAAATGCGAGATTTTTCTAATTAACATAAAAACACGTATCGTCTAGAGTCAAATGAAATTGACGACGCTGAATTTTGAATCTTCTATGATTTATTATTATTATTTTAAATCTTTCTTAAAACGATAAAAATAAGGTTTTGAGAGTCTAAACGATGAAATTTGGTCTAAAATTGAAAGAGCACTCATGGCAAAGTCATAGTCTTGATTATTGGCCTGATCGAGATCAAATATCACTAGTTCCATTAAATTCTATGTCTAACTCATTTTATCTCTAATATTACTTTTTGTCATTCCATTTATACGTTACTTTTTGTTATTCTGTTGTACTTTGAAGGCACGATGATCAGCCTGTTGTAAATATTCTGCAGCCACCTATTCTACGTCCCCTATTGACCCCCGAGTCCATGCCATTCTCTTCTTGAAAAGAAAAAAAAAAAAAAAAAAGAGGAATGTTTTTTATTAGGTTTTTCATATTTTTATATTTTGTGAATTAATTACAACCATCACCCATGTATGAAGAATTTCATGCACAGTTGTGGCAATGAGAATCATGCAATGAGAATCTGGATTTTATCGCATTGCTTGAGCTAACTCTAAGGCAAGTTAAAATGACCGATTCCCAATCACGTGATTCTCATCATACAACTATATCATGAAGTTCGGTCCAATTTTGGAGGATCCCAGTTCGTGATAAACTTATATATAACCCTAGTATGCATAAAACGCTAACACAGAGATTCTGTGTATGTATGTGTGTGGGTGTGACAGAGAGAGAGAAAGAGAGGGGGAGGGGGGGAGCTATCAGCCCTCCAGCAAACTTTAGGAAGCGACCCAGTTTGTGTTGCATCTCAAAAAATAGTATCCGAAAATAATTTTTGGAAAGAGTTTTAGAAAACTCTTTTTTGGTGTTTTTTTGTTACAAAACTTATTTGGTTATATGATTCTAAATACAAAATAAAAAATAATAAATCTTACTTGGACAATAACCTAAAATACAATAAAAATAGAAATGTGATAGTGATGTTGGTGGAAGGGTAGTGGAAGTGTTGTGGTGGTGGTGATGGTGTGGTGGACGTTGTGGTGGTGGAAATATAATAGTGGTGGTATTTTCTATATTCAGTAAAAGTGATTTCTAAAAACACACAAATAACTCTAACTTATTCTCTAAATTTACTTAGTTTTTGTTCTCAATTTTTTAAAAACAACTGGTTAAATAACTTTTCTCCTAAAAACTATTTTCGAAAATAGAAAACAGTTTCTAAGATACAAACCAAACAAGACATATAATTCTTGTTTTTATAACTGAACTAACAAAACTGCTCACAAACCAGCAACTGTTGAAAGAACAAGAAGAGGAGAAATCAAAATGACAGAATAGAACTACTTAGCTACATATACAGAAAGCCACAAGGGAAAAACAATCAGCTCTCTGGGACATAATTTAAATTAATGTCATCCCAACTTCTCAGGTGTTCAACCACTCCAATAGGCTGGATGCCTGAAATCTTGCAGCTTGGAACAGAAGAAATTAAGAATTTGATGGGCTCTCCACATCTGATTACCATCAATCTAGATGGAATTGCTCTCTGCAGCTCCTGGAGGCATTCCATCCTGCAATATCGAAGGAGACCATGGCCTGGTGATAAACAGCAAAAGACATTCCACGTCATACTGAGGTCGGACAGCTGAACTGAATACGGATTGCATCAAGCGCTTTTTCTCAGGAGCTCATGCGGTGAAACTTGACAAATTAGACACATGGAGTGCAGTTGCAGACATATGTCGATACAGGTTGCATGATAGAAGTGTCCACAGAAAGGTAGGATGTGCAAGGTATCTTCTTCATGATATTCCTCCAGGCAAACCTTGCACCTGAGACAAAAAAAATTCCAGAAATATTAGAAGGGTGACCAGAGAAATATAAGAACTGGTTATTTTGGACAAGGAAACTGCATCCCCCACTTAATGCACTTCGGTAGGCAAGCTTCCATGCGTTTTTTAATTCTAGAGTGGAATGCAGTATCTCCCTTCCCAGAAAGGACCCTTTGGGATGGTGAATATTTTTTTAGCATGGATCCAATGTGTAGCTCATCATCTTTCTAGTTAGACTTTTCGCTATACAAAATCCACACCAAATATTTGTTTAAGTGCTTGGATTTTCCACTTAACATAAAGTCGAGAATCTCATACACTCAAATTTTCACACAGATCATCACTTAAAAGTCACGAATCCACACATTTAATTAAATTGGAATTTCCATTCCCTGCCTTTTACTGATTGCTGCTTTACTATTTTCATCATCCTTAAACTTCTTTTCAGAATTAATGGAAATTGGGTATTACTTTAACAAAGCAAACTCCACTTGTTTCCATTTGAGTTGGATGGAATTATTTTTTAACAATTGTGAGGACAACTGGCAAATGAAATCCATAGTATTTCTTTTGTTTTTTCAGTCTCATAATCATATTTTTTTTTTTTTTTTTTTGTGGGGGGGGGGGGGGAGGGGGAGGGGGAAAGGGGAAAGGGGGTTTGAACTCTTAACCTCAAGAAGACAAAATCTTCACAAGGCAAGGTGTACCATTAGACCAAAGGTCTGTTGGTCATAATCATATACAGTTTGATATATATATATATATATTGACAAAAAGATATGCATTCTCATTCCAAAATGTAGCATCAGGTCAAGTAAACTACTCGATATTTATGCAGAGAAGATTAGATGCCTAGATTCTCTGCCCTTTTTTTATTATCTTTGCTATTATTGTTATTATTTATGTTCTGGTACAATAAGAACTGCATTACTCCTAATTTCATATTGTTGCTTGATCATATTACCCATTCACAATGTAGGAAAGTGAACACCATTTGACCAGCCCCTTTATTCAGACAAAATTGCAAATAATGGATGAAGAGGGAGATGGTGTAGTTTATCTTTCTGGTATGATAGATCCTACAAGGAGAGAGTGGAACAAGATCGTATAATGACCTTATTTGGTATAGGGCTGAGATTTACAAGAAAAGACAATGAACCAGAAGGAAGTAGACGAAAAGGTTAAAACTAGGGGAGAATGAGAAATTTTGTAAAGTCTAAACAACAAAGGGCAGTCTAGTGCACGAGGCAAATATCACTAGCGGGGGGCCACACAGGA